CTTGTAAAAATGTAGTGGATTATGAAGGATTATAACTGTGTGATTAAAAAAAAAGAATCACGGGCTGCACAGATAAAAATACAAAAACACAATTTCAGGAACATCACAGATGTTCAGTGTACATACTGTTGTATACATTTTTAAGGAAAGAGCGTGCCTGATCCCAACCAGCTAAAATATTCACAATCCAAACAAAATGGCAATTAAAAGGCAAGAGAGAGAGAACACTCATGGAGGGAAAAACCACAATCATCATAATCACCAGAAGGGCAATTTACTGCCCTGCCCGCAGATAAATGCATATATAACGTGACTGTAGTTCAGAATAGGAAGAAACAAGAAACATTATGGCACAGTGCCTTTCCCCTGTTTGCTTTTCCATTGGCATATAGTTACATTGTGAGCTCCCTACAGTGTAGGCAGGAGGCGCTCCCGTCTCTTAAAATACTGTATGCAGCTCCTAACACAACGACTCTTCAAACCCACAGGCTGCAATACAAATAATAAACAGTTTTCCTCTGCTCAACAGTCATTTTTATACGCCCACAGTTATAAACACCGTATAATCATTGACTGGTCTTTGTTGCTAAAGATATTTATTGCATCACTTTCATTTCTGTGCCCGCCCAGGGTACTCAAATTCATGTTTTAGCATGTCCAGTTAGTGGGTGGAGGTGAACTTAAAAGACACCCCGTGGTCTGGCTTTTTTAAGCGAGTTCTAACCCATGCGCTGGTTACAAGCTTCAACTAAGGGAATTATACATCTGCGTCCTGCTGCCTCGCTGACGCTGGGGGTCAGTGGGTTTTCCTGTGTATTTCACATCCTCAGCAAATGTCTGGGTTCAAAGCAAAACCCAAGTCTTCTGGGGCTCCAACCTGCAAAGAGATTCTCTGTAATCTGTGCCTGCAGTGCGCTCGAGCAATAGCCACAGGGAACGGACTGACACGTGGAAAGAGGGGCTGAGCAGAAAGCTCGGGCAGCGCAGCTGGGGGGGAGGCTTTGAACTCTCTCGCTGAAACCGGTACCTCTCTGAGTGGCCCCGCCTGGGCGCGTACATCCGGCAAAGGTGTTTCAAAGGTCTCGGTTAGCGCGGCGGGTACTGAATGAAGCCTCCAGAGCTGGGGTGGTTTGGTTTGAGGTCGGATTTTTAAGGGGGTCCGTTGCAAATGAGAGTTACCGAGCGTCTCCTTGCGTGGTGTACAGCCGCGCTGTAGATGAGCGGGGGGAGCGAGGGGGGGACCCGCGGAGCCCCAGGGTTCGCTGCCTCCCGCTCCTCCCGCCGCCGCCGGGGCCAGGACTAAGAGACCCTCGCCAGCGCAGGCTCC